CAACATAATATAGCTACCTTAAATGATGGAAGAATACAAAACTTTCGGCTCAAGAAATTTTCATGGTTACTCTATTACCGCTCACATCAATGGAATTTTTGACAATTCCTACATTCCAATGGTCAATACAAAGGGTATCAACGTCAACAATATCACAACTCGTCAAAACATTCGTTTTCCTCCTAGCGATGATAAAGATGACTTTTACAACGGCATAATTCGTTATGACGTTCGTTTTCCAAACAAACCATATGAAGTTAGTGATGTCGTTGACAGCACCGCTTTTCTTCCCATACAAATTAACGGCGACGCTGGAACTTTCAAGGAATCATTCGGAATGGTAAAGAATGCTACCGGTCGCTATTTCTTGGTAGAATCTACTAAACTGAAAGGAAATGGGAAGAAGGAATTTAATCCTTATGCTAAAGAATGGGTGCCTAAAAGTAAAATATTAGGAAATGTGCCAAACTATACTACTGTAGCCTCGTCAAAATCCGGATCTTCGTTAGGACAAAACGTTACAATAGTTGATATTCCGGAAACTCGATTCTTAAATCCTAATGAAGAGAAGATATCAAAAATTACCGACAACGTACCTATTACTATCAAAGATAAAAATCCTGAAGCTTTAGGATGTACTCATAGAGTTGACTTTAACGGCAACTTTTCGAATCGCAAATGTGGTATTAAAGTATCAAGTCCTATCAATACCAACTATAAAGACGCCAGTTATCAAGGCGAATTCAGAGAATCCGAGTTGAAAAAGAATGAAAGCAGAACAAATGGCTTCGTTAAAGACATACCTACCAGAAATAAACAAGCGATGATCGGCAAGGAGTTACGAACGGCTTCAATTGATACCGTCGATGACATCAATAACTCAAGCGAAAACTCTAATATTCAAATGTTGAATAAATCCAAAAAGCAGGTTTGCATTAATGATACCAGTTCCAATTTCATTTCCGTGAAAACTGCGAATGATAGTGATATAATATTAAACACAAAACACTCTGTGCCATTCGTTGTGGGTGCGCCGGTTTGCCGCCTTGAAAAGTCTTTAATCAAATGCCCTTTTAAGAAGTTTGGCTGTGAAGATATTACGGATGAGTTTATCGTTTACAAAGGGAATGAAAAGGCTATGGAGAAAGTCAGAAAAGCCATAGTAGAATCAAATATTCGCGAGCAGGGAGAAATTAATAATGCTTCGTCACTTAAAGTTGACATGTCATTTGCACAATTAGCGACAGTCAATGAAACAATCGAGAACATTAAACATAGCAATGGATTGTTCATGTTCTCACCTGAAACACCTGAAATAGCTACTCCTTCTACTGCGGTTAGTTTACTTAAACCGTTCATCTGGACTGGTTTACATTGGGTTACTGAACCTTCACGTTGGCTATGTGTCTCAAACTTCCCATTTGAATCCGAATATTATCCTGATTTGAGACACTTGTTTGAGGTAAGTGTTGTCAGATTGTAATCACATTTCAAAATATGCATTATTAATATATCCGATCCTAATAATGTTTCTAGGCATATGGAGACGTTCGCGAAATATACTGCGGTTCTAATGGAATCGCATACGTCTTTTATTACGATATTAGAGATGCGATAAAGGCACAAAATTTATTAAGACATAAAGAGGCTCCTCATAACGGAGGAAGATTAAACGTCAAGTTTAGTCAAAAGCCAACAAACGTTAATAGAGTATATACAATGCTTGACATTTCTTTTTTTTTTCACGTGTTCACCTTAATTTACAATTGGATCTTTAAATATTGACAGTTGGCGCATTTATATCCACCAATCGGCTTGCTAGAACGACAAAATGAAGGTAGCCTGATCATTTACCATACTGCACGTGCAAATGAACCTGCAGTAAAGGCCCAATTCAGCAAGTACGGGACTATTAAAGAATTTAAATCTCAAACATACGAGGATTTGCGAGTAATAATTCTCGAGTATTATGACTCAAGAAACGCGAATTCAGCCAAAATTTCTTTGAATGGACAAAAAATACAAGTTGGTTTTCAACATATTCATTTGTATTATTATCAATTCATTTTAAATTTCATTTGCATTAATAATAATAGGATACGACTTTGTCCATCGAATTCCATGATCCCAGCGCACATTCGTGGGACATAATAACTCACGAAATCTCCAGCCGAAAAAAAGCTCCAAAACATGGCTCGAAAAATTACCCAGCACCGCCAGTAACTAGTACAGTACATTCGTCTGGGAATAGAATGATTCCTTTGAAGAATCAGTTGAATCTCGAAAAAATCAAGCAAGGTATTTTTTAATGACATTCTATTGATATCATTGTTTCTATAATTTTCATAATAATCAAAGTCGTTTAATCCTTTCATTACAATAGGGCTTGACGCTCGGACCACATTCATGGTCCGAAATATTCCAAATAAATACACGCAAGAAATGTTGCGCGCGGAACTTGACGAAACGCACAAAGGCAAATACGACTTTTTGTATTTGCGTATCGACTTCGCAAATAAATGTAACGTCGGTTACGCTTTTATAAATTTCGTAGATATCAAGTAAATGCAATTATTTTGTATAAGTGTGAATTTAAATTGGCAAATATAAATCTGATTGTTATAAATTATTTTCTATTAGCGCGGTGATATTGTTCTCAGAATCGCGTGTAGGTCGAAAATGGGCCTGTTTTAATTCGGACAAAATCTGCGAGTTGTCATACGCAGATATACAAGGGTATCCTGCACTTGTCGAGAAGTTCAAGACCTCAAGGTGATTAACTACTTTTCCCTAATTATGTTATTGCTTTTTGTTAACGTAAATTGATTTTCATTTATTATTCTACCTTGGTAGCGTAATGAGGGAAAGACCAGAATATCGTCCAAAGGTATTTTTTACTTCGGGGCCCATGAAGGGTATGGAGGCTCCTTTCCCATACATCCCGACCCGAAAATAAGGGTGCATTCATTCCCTCCCCACTCGAGGGTTAATATTTTTTTTTTTTAAAACAAAAAAAAAAAAAAAAAAAAAAAAATATTGGTGTAAAACAACAGAATTGTACTGATTGCAAAAATTTAAAAAGGATTATATGTAATTATTATTAGGAGGGTTTATAAATTTATTAGCATGTATTACTATTTTAATACCCCAAGGTATTTTATTTTATAATTATTTTATGATTATTTTATTTATTATTTTTATTGGAAAAAAATTCCGGGTTAATTATAATAATTTTATGATCCAATTTTCTAATTGAATTTTTCGTTGTTGACCGTTTTGAATATAAAATATTTAAAAAAAATTATAGGTATGTCTTTGTTTTTTGGTTTAAAAAATATTTTTGCTTCACAAAATTTAATAATAAATTTTATTTCTTTAAAAATATTACCTTTCAATTAAAAAAAAAAATATGTGTCGGGTATGACGCTAAGGAAACCAGAGGTTGGAATCGGCCAAAATTTTTATAGTCGACTAATACTAAGTTTTTCGATTAATTAGAATTAGTCAACTAACTAGTCGATTATAGACCGATTTCAATCTCTGTTATATAGCTGGCGAGAATAATTCCTTCAAAGGTATTATTCATTTCGTGATTAAAAATTTTCAACTCCATCAGTTAAGCAAAACGCTGATATAAATTATAAGCAACAACTCTAATATTTCAAATCTTTCAACGATAATGGCTTGATTATTCAACCATATTAATATTGGAGAATATCCCTCGTTCTTAATAACCGGTTAACTAAAAGTTTTTGTCAAATGATCGGTAATTTAATCATATCGATATTAATTTTAAATGGCTAAATTAATTGGTTTAATTATTATATTAATAACGTGCTTATAAATATTCTCTTTTTTTTTTTTTTTTTTTTTTTTTTCCAGATCCGCAATTTCTTCAAAGCTTTCTAAAAAAGTTATCAATTCAAATTCTATAAGTACTATTATATTATAAAAAAAAAAAAAAAAAAAAAAAAACGATATTTTAAAAATATAAAAAAATATGTACATAAAATATTCCGCATAGTTCTAATAAACTGTGTAATCTAAAGAGTTGGAATCGGATTTATTTTTTTATATTCGGATTATTTAATTGTCAAAAAATCGGAACCGGATTCAATTCGAATTATTATATACGGTTCCTTCGGATTCAATCCGGACTTATTAATTCCAGTTCTTTCGAGATTCAATATATAACTGGTTCCTTCGGTCTAACCGGATTGTAACAGCATGGATTCGTTCATAAAAGGTAAAATTAATTTCAGATCGTCATATTAAAGGGAATAAACTGATACAACTAAATCTGTCTATAATAGCTTAACACACATTACTTTATTTATTTTCTAATTAATACTTATTTTCGAATTTAGAAAAGTACAATATAAATAAATAATTTACAATTATACAATTAAACCAGGAAATAGCAAAAAACCGCGTAAAATGAAGGAAAACCAATAAATATTAATAATTAGTATTTTAGTTTAATAGGGTTAAAAAAAAAAAAAGTTCAAAATACCTAAAGAAATTAAAAGTAGCCATCTAAAAAAGTAAAACTATTAAATGAATTTAATAAAATAAAAGAAAAAAAAAATCAAAAATCAAAATACCTAATCTGAATTTCCAAATCTGCAATAAGAACGAAACTCTAATTTGAACTTTATAATTTATAAATTATTTAAGAAAGTAATCACCAAGAATCTAGAAATCCAACACGGGAAAATCTTGGGGGCGACAAGGAAAAGTTTGCTTATCATGTCAAGGTAATCGGAGGTATGATATCTTTTTGTAACAGTTGAACTTTGGTTAAAACATTAAGGATGGAGAAATCATTATCTGTATAAATAAGTTTTAGAGGAGCTTCTTGGACTATTTTTTAGGAGAGAATAAATATTTTGTCTCGTGATTTTTAAAAAAATTAACCTTTTTTTTTATGCTTTAAAAATTTTATCTTAATACATTAAAATTCTGTACTATTAATTTTTATTATGACAAGTACCCCAATGTTAATATTCAAGATTTACGCACAAAACGTACTTTTTTATGTTATAAACCCAAGGGTCGAATACCTTTCCTTCCCCCTTATTTTCATAAGACTGATTTCTTTTGAATGTTTCAAATATTTCTCTCGGTAAGACAAAGTATATTTTGACGCAATAATTTTCATCTAAGATATCCTTTATCGCTCTCAATCCATCTTGCTTTATACTATGCTTCCTAGAAACGGTAACTTGAAATAGATTATTTGGATGAGCATAACTATCTATGCTTTCGAAAGTCTTCGAAGTTGGCCGAAAATATTTTACTCGTCCTTGTATCTCCTTAACATTATCAAAAAAATTTTCTTCTAGAGAATCAAAACTATGAATAGCTTCAGATCCTGTACCATCATCTGTGAGTTCACGTACTCGAAAGTCTCCCCCTTGACGAATTATTGTATGTGTGACCATTTCAAACAATGTTCCACGAAAACCTCCCAATTGTGTTATATCCTTTGCATTATTGATAAAATCAAATAGATACTTTTTATGATTCAGTTGTAATTGTTCTAAGCATCTATCTGCTACATTTTTTGATGCAAAGAAGCAGGTTGACGTTGTGTACGGCGAAAATTTACCCATCTTTTCAATGTTGGTATGTACAGTGCCCGGCAACAAATCACCGGTCACGTGACGCCGATCAATTTTAATGCAAATTTTTAATTCAAATTACTCGATCATTGCCGCACCAAATTTAATAAAATTTTTTTTATTTGCACGATAAAAAACTTCAGCTATTTACTAATACTTTGTTGGATGACCTTTACTTTTTATAACAGCAGCAACTCGACGAGGCATGCTATCAACAAGATTTTGATATTTATTAACATCAAGATTTGACCACTCCTCTTGAAGTATTTCCCATAAATCTTCCCTGTTTTTTGGTAATGGAGTGTGTGCCCGCACCTGCCTTTCTAATTCATCCCATAAATTTTCTATCGGATTAAGATCCGGACTATGTGCAGGCCAGGGAATACTATTCACTTTATGTTTCACTTTCCATCTTTTAATAATATTTGCAGTGTGTATGGGAGCGTTATCCTCTTGAAAAAAATAATTATCCTGATTATCTAAACCCTCTAAAAATGGAATTAAATTATTTTTTAACACTTTCTTATATACCGCAGCTGTTACCCTCCCTTCTAATTTTACTAATGGACCAAGATTATGTTTTGCGAAACATCCCCACACCATTACTCCTTGTTAACCCGACTTTACTGTAGGAATTAAACACTCCACATCATATTTTTTATGAGGCCGCCTCCAAACCCACCTTCTACCATTTCCTCCAAACACTTCAAACTTGGATTCATCACTCCAAATGATACTTTCCCATTCATTTACCCACTCTTTTCTTTCTTTAGCCCAGGCAAGTCTTTTTTGCTTATTTTTTTCACTTATGAAAGGTTTTCTTACACCAACTCGACCATAGAAACCTTGTTCATGAAGGTAAGTGCTTAAAGTTTTTTTACTAACTTTTGTTGAAGTGGAATTGACAAATTCTTTATGTAATTCCTGAAGGTTCATTTTTCTATTTTCTTTAAGAATTCTCGTCAAATGATGACCATCTCTTTCAGTCATTATAGGCGGTCTACCAATTCTAGGAGCAAGTGTTTCGTCTTCACAAATTTTATAAGCAGAAATAACATCATGAATGGTACTTTGGGGATGGTTTAAAGCTTTGCCAATCTTTCTTTCGCTTATTTCACATTTCCAAGCACTAACGACTTCACCACGTTCAAAAATAGAAAGTTCTTTTCTTTTAAAAGTCATGTTTAAATAAGAAAGATTTTAGTAATACGTGACAAAAAATAGAGGTATATTAATAAGAAAATGGCTGAGATAACAGGTTTTAAAGATAAACAAATAATGATCAACAATCACGTGACCGGTGACTTCTTGCCGGGCACTGTATATGGATTAATTTATGAGTATATTCATCACCTACGAGGATTTGGCCTTGGTGATAAAGTATTTTTGATTTAACTGTTTTAATTGCTTTTTCAATATCTATTTCAACTTCCAATCATTGTAAAGATCTACCTTGCAATCCCACTACATATCTCGAACTTATCTTTTAAGGATTTTATAGTCAATTTTTCTTTATATAGATAGTTCCAATAGTCTTCAAGCTCATATTCATTTCATGTTAGCATAAATAGTTCTCTGTATCACTGATTTGCAAAATCTCCAATTATTGTTTTCTTTGGTGAACTCACTATAATTAACCTTCTATTAGAAAAATCATAACCCACTTGGTCCCTCTTTCCGTCGATTATACACTAGATATTTGGTTGTTCTGTCATTTGTTTGAATAGTTCTTTGCCATTTACATAAGTTATTTCACCTGATGGTTTAATCCGTATCGTAAAAGTTTCACAATCTAACAAAACAGTTTTATCCTTTTTAAGGAGTCTATTAGCATTAACCTTCCAAAAAATGTTTTTCTAATACCTAAATTGCCAGTAATGAGATATCACATCTTCGAGTATAAAATTACATAAATATTTATAATACTCTCAATTATAAATATCTATATCTTCATTTCTCCTGGCAATCTTAGAATTTTGAATACCTTATTCTGTATGTTGATCTTTGGTAAACTATTTACTAAATTTCAAAGCTTTTCCTTATCTGAAAAAATATAAATCAAGTTAGATTTTATATTCTTTAATTAAGATCAACATTAAAAGAAAAATTCCTTGTTTCTGTAAATATAGTTTTTCTTCTTCCTCATCTTCGTCCTCTACCATTTTTCTTTTTCCTAATCGAATAAAAAGAATGTGAGATAACGCGTATTTCTTTTTCAAGAGGTAAACTATTAGAAGATATTTACTAATAATAGTAGACTTTAGTGATTTTACGATGATGTGAATGAGCTCTTCCGGTAGTCTAATTGAGAAAATGTTCTTAGCCAATTTAGTTGTAGACAACCTCTCACCTTCAAATTCTTTTCTAATGTTAATTTCAGTATTTTTAAGTCTTTCTATGTTTTCATTAGTTTCTTCAATTTCAACCTTCCAAAGATCTATATTACAGCTACTAATAATATCCTTTTTTTTTTCCTAGATATAGTCCATGAGAAATGCAATATTAAAATTTTCAAAAGGGATGGTATCATTCTTAATGATAATTTTTTCTCCAAGAACAACTGAAAACCTACGAGTGTCATCTAAGATAAAACAATTTAAAACCATCTGCATTATATTTCTGCAAATGTGAAAATCGGGAGTTAAAACCAAAGTCAAATAATTAATTTTTCAGTAATATAAATAAAGACCTTTTTGGGCTGGCAGGTAGCGAAAATTTCTCGTTTTTAGATTGTATCTGAAATGGTGAAGGTACTCAAAATAGTAAAGGATAATTTGACATGATTATGTGCTATATAAATATATAATGTGTGAGAAAATTATACGAAAGACAAAATTTTAATAGGTTTATTGACTTAAAAAAGTTAAAGATCTTTGCAGGCAAATTTGTCTGTCCTATATAAAATAATTGATATCAACAAAATAAATAAATTATTTAATCAATCCAAAATAGTAAAATAATAATAATTTAAAAATAAAAAATTAAAATCAAAAAATTCGCAGGCAAATTTGCTTACAAATAATTACACAAATTTTGTAGTTTGTAAAATTACTTTTTTTACTTAATTAACTAAACTAAAAATTTTATCCAATACAGTCAACGACCAAAATTATGCAAACATTTTGATTTGTCAAAATTAGGCAAATCAATTGTTACGTGATTACATAATTAAAACAATACGTCATTTTTTACTTATGACGATAAATACCCCAAACCTTTTCCTCTTTTAAATAAGTTTATGTCAAATATGAAAGTACTTACTTCCAAAACTTGTAGTGCTATTACTTATGGTTATAAATGTGGACAGTCAGGTTATACTATAGCTATATAGCTAGGATGCATGTCTATATTATTCTTAAACGTCTTCGCAAAACTGGTTCTTTAACATCAACTCCACCACCATCTAGTATTAAAGTACTTGAAAAGTATGTAAAGGATGCATAAAAAATTTTCATCCGAAATATTAAAAAACTGATCGATAGCTGCCATGGCGAATTGCCGCAATTGGAAATAGGATTAATTATTAAATTTTTTTATAAATCAATAAATAAAGATATATTTGAATTTATTTTGTTAAAATTTTATTTTTATTATATTATGTGTATATAATTTTTTTTGATTTTAAAAATGTTCGCATAATTTTGGTCGATGACTGTATGTAATAATAGTCAAATATAATATTTCTTCAACGTTTTGCCTACAAATTTGTAGGAAATTTTATTTATTAATTATAATCATTTTTAATTATTTTAAATATTTTAAAATATATTATTAAAAAATTAATACTTTTATGATAAATTTTATGATGTTTTCTAAGTAAAAATTAAAAAAAAAAATGTAATTAACTATTGATTTTTTAAAGATAAATAAATAATAAATTATTATAAAAAAAATTAAATTTTAAACTCATATATCTTACTATTAATAAATCTCAGAAATATAAAAATAAATAATAAATTATTTTTAAAAATTAAAAAATTAAAAAATTAATTTATATTAATAATTATAAATTTTAAAAGTTTAAAAATATTATTATTAAATATATAATAATATGATAAATCTAAAAATTTTATTTTTTTTTTTATAATTATTAGATATTAAAATATTTTAGAAATAATTTTATACTTACATTTAAGAATAATATTTATTTTACTAAGCCTAATTATATTTAATAAATTTTTTGTATAAAAATTGAAATTTAAAAATTTATAGATAAATTTGCTTGCTTTACAGTTTAAAAAATAATATATCTGTTTTGTAAGATTATGATAATAACAGTAAACATTACTGTTAATTATTTTTACAAAATTGTCTTTAAGTTTATAAATACAATCTTATAATTTGTCAAAATTAATTATAAAATGATAATTTTTTACCAATCCCATTTGAAATAATTGATAACTTAGCAAAATAAATATAATAAAAATTTATTTGATCTGATTCAGAAATAATTTCTATAAAATATTTAACTATTAATAAGTAATCATTTAAATAATATATTAAATATAATAATTAGGTTATTTATTATTTAATTTGACTAATGCTAATTTTATTTTATTAAACTTTGAATTAAATAAAATTTTATTATAAAAAGAATATGTTTTTATCACTAAAGAATAATAAATTTATCATATTAGATTTTAACTAAAAATTATTTATATAATATCTTAATATATATACACTTTAATCAATATTTTATTTACTTTTATTTTTTATCAAAGATTTTAATTTTACAAAATTAAATTTATTAAAATCATATTTAATAAGTCTAGACTTTTTTAAACTTGGTAAATAAATTGAGTATTATCAAAAGTAATTAATAATTGTTGTATATTTTCTTTATTCTAATAAATAATAAAAAACTTTAATTAACTTATTTAAAATAATAATTTATAATAAATATAATAATTACATCGATTTTTTATAAATTTTGTCTAATTCTTTTGGTCTATCATTTTATATAAAGAATAACAATAGTGAATTTATAGTACTAATATTTGACAATTATATAACTAGTTTTAGCAATTGTATAGCTAGTAACATATTTGGTAATTATATAGTTAATAATACATTTGATGATTATATTATATTTGATAATATAGTTAAAAATATATTTGACAATTATATTAATGATAATTATGTTGATATATAGTTATATTTAATGCAAAATGCAATTGAAATTTTTTTCTTAATTTAGCTGAAAGTTTAATATACATATAATTATTTAATTTATTTTATCAAAAAAGGATCATTTATATGATTTATAATAAAACAGTCAATAGAATTAAAAATTAAAGTTTCTAAATATAAAATAAATACTATAAATAAATAAAATTAAATAATAAATATTAAATAAATATTAAATACTATCTTATATCTTATAAATTATAGAAGCAAATTATTTTCTGATAAGTTTCTTTAATATTTCTATTATAATTTATTAAAAGTTAGTAAAACTTATTGTTTATTTTTAAAATTTGTAATTAATTTATATTTTATATTATTAATAAATTTTTTAAATAATTGCTATAAATATAAGCTGCATATATATATTTACAATATTATATAAAGCTCTATTTTAAATATAAAAAAAATTCTGCTATTAATTATATTTATAATATAATAATTTAATCATATTTCTTCAGCTTCTTAAATACTTTTTTATTTTTTTCAGAGATTAAATAAAAATCAGCATTAAATCTTTTAAATATATATATTTATAAAATATAATAAATCTAAAGAATTAAGTTAATATAAATATATTATATTATTATAATAAAATTTAACATTAATAAGTATATTATCATTATAATCTTTTAAAAGTTTTTTAAAATTTAAATAATAGTAATTAAGCTTATCAAAAATCTTAGTTGATAGTAGATTATTACATTTATTTAATGATCTAATAATATAAATTTTATTAATTAATTAAATTTTATAATTGAAATTTAAAATCTTAATTATTTATCACTATTTTAGTCTAAATTGTAATCATATTACTATTTAATTTAAAATGATACTTATCTTTTATAATTAAGCATCCTTAATATGGTATTTATATTTAAAAAATTTTTATATATTTCTGACTTTATAGTTTTTATAGAGAATTAGATATTAATTTTTAATAAAATTTTATTTATTAAATATAAAATAAATATATATTATATATTAAATAAATATATAATTTTTTTTGATAAAGATCCTTTTTTTATATCATCTATTATAAAACTTTTACAAATCTTTTCTTTTCTTTTTATATTCTAAAATAAATATCATAATAGTATTATTTGATTTAAGATTATAGTGATCTACCTTAATAGTAAAAGATTTTAATAATATATAAGACCAAATTTTATTTTTTTTATTCTGTTGAAAATTTAAGATAAAATTTCTTTTTAAATACAGTCAACTCTTATTATAATGAATTCTATGTTCTAGATCTTAACTTCGCTATAAAGCTATAGTAAAGATTTTAAGAGATTTGATTGATCAATTCGTTATAACAAGAGTATTTTTATTATATTTGTTCAAAAAATTTGTTATATCAAGAGTTCACTATATTAAGAGTTGGCTGTATACTTAAATTATTCAAATCATAGGATATTAATTATTTTATCAAGCTTTTTATGTAATTATTTAAATTGATTAAAACAAGCTAATGTAATTTTAAATAAAAAAATGTTAATTTATATAAATAATTATTAATTTAAAAGTGAATAAATTTAATACTAATGTAGTTCAGTTTTTTTAAAAGTTATAAATAATATATTATTTAATAGCTTTGATATTGATTAAATTGATAATATATAGGGGAGGTAAAATAAATATTGAATAATTTTTTCACAAAACTTTAATTAATTAATTTTTATATACAATTGATGTAATAAAACTAATTATAGTAATTTACAATGCTTTTCTAATCAATAATAAATTTATTTTTATTAAAATTATGATAGTTTTTTATTTATTTTGATTTAAATTTTTTAAATATTTTCACAATTTTCATAATTTTTCACAAAAAAATAGGTTATATAAAAAAGATTATTTCAGAACAAAGAAATGCAAATTTTGTATGTCAAAAACCTTATATTACGTAAAAAAATATTGCATAATTACTGAATGTTCTCAGTTAACAGTTTCCCAGGTTTTAAAAATAATTAAACTATTAATAAATGATTGGAGATTGTTCCCAAATAATGACTATAAAAATTAAAAAAGTTGGTAAAAGCTGTTCTTAATAATAAAGATTCTAGATGTCATAATTTAAAAGTAGTTTATCAGTCTTTTCAAAATAAAATAAAGGTGAGAAAGTATCCAAGTAAACCATCAAAAAAGTATTAAGAATAGAAGGCATTTGATCATACATGCCTCATCACATCTAATATCAAAAGTTGGAAAAAATGGTTATTGAAAAATGAAAGTCAGTATTCAAAGAAATATATTGAAATCTTATTAATTTAATGCCTTCTCAAATTTATGCATTATTTCTGCTAAAGAAGGTCATATTAAATATTATATATATTAAATAAATTTATTATAATAAATAAATATAAATAAACTAAAACTAAAAATAAAAAATTA